TTGCTCGGACTTAATATCAGTATATATTTGGTAAACAATAAATCTGCACAATGTAATTACGTTATATCAACGTATGCTTACAACTATGATTCTGCTAATTTATTAAGTTGTAAAATGGAAAAATTTAATTTATCAAAATACTCTGAGAATATAAATCTCCCATTACCAGCTACCTTTACTATAAACGATTTGAATAAGCCCGTATTAACAAGGTCAAATCTACTTACAATTGTTTCGCCGCAAATAAGAAAAATTGTACCTAGTCGTGGTCCAATGTCTGGCAAAACTATATTATCGATTTATGGTAAATATTTAGACGCAGGAAATGACATCAAGGTTCGGTTGGGTGAAAATAAATGTATAGTTAATAATACTGTACCAAGAAGTGAGAAATTTGTCACATGCGTAATTCATAAAGTTAACCATACTCAGGATGCTAAAATTCAAATTTATTTTGACAATGCAGAACGATATTTAGATTCATACACGTTTACTTATAGTGATGATCCGCGAGTTTATACAGTATCGACAGGAGATCATGGTGATTTTGAATCGATTGCTAGTGGTGGGATCCTTATAAATATCATCGGTGAAAATTTTGACACTATACAAAACACTAAGATTCGGTTTTTCTTAAATTCGAAATCTAAGAATATGTTCTATGACAATTGCACTATTGTATCGCCTAATGAAATGCTGTGTAAAAGTCCCAAGATACCAAATAATGTTATAAAGAAAGTTGAATACGGCGGATTCTTTGAGTTAAATTTCGGATTCAATATGGACTTTGAGTCGCTCTATGACTTGACACGTCGTCATGTCAAACCATTTCCTAAATTCAAAATATTTCCCGATCCTTGCTATATACCATTTTATAGAAAGTTATACGACGACGAATATATTACAGTGTGTTTCACCATGGACCTCCGCCTTTTAATTGCAATATCTCAAAAACTAAATTAGATAGCAAGGTATTCTCGACGGTTTCTAAAACTAGAAAGTATGGAAAAATTTTTGACATACTGATCACCCAGGTGCGACTTATATTAATGTTATTTCTATGGACACTCTTGCAGACAAGAGTTACAGTATGAACAAAATGAGCAAGATAAATACAATCTATAGCAATTTTATAGAGGAAGGTATGAACTTTCATTGGCATCGAGATTTCTCAGCTCCGACATGGTTCAGTCACAAATAAATTTTGAAAATCAAGAATCTCTATGTAAATTTCAATGGGAAATTTTCAATCAATAATTAATAACAATAAGATAGTAGCTAGGTAAAAGTGTTCTATAGCTCAAAGATAGAGAATTTAATTATCTTTCAAATGGTGTATCACTCGTTATGGTCGGAATTATACTTCTTGAATTATTGTTTAATTTATTAAATTAATATAAATGTAGAGTTATGCCATTGAATCCAATTATGTAACTGTGATTAATATTAATTTAATAAATTAAANCGTGTTAAACATATCAATGTTTAGCCGGTGGACAGGCGGTCGTAATGAATGAAAATTTGCCATTTTCTGGGCTAACAGTGCAACTACTTTGGGCTCCATATCATCATTGCAATCAAAATACCTGGACTAATTTAAATTAAAATTTTTATTAAAAAAATATTAATTTAATGTATACTGAATATTATTTGTTATACATCGATGTATTCACTGATAGTCCCGTTGGGAAATACAGCCAAAAGTTTGGGGCAAATATTGTTTAGCGACAAAATCACATTTATTGCGGTGACGTGTGTTTGCGTGAAATAGGCTTTGAACCGGTCGTAGTCCGCATACCTGACCACAACTTTTGTGTATTTGGATTCAACATTTGGTGGTAAACAACATAAATATGTCTGATTCATGTATCCATCGCTAGATTAGTTGTATTATGTTTTAAGCCATTTAATAGGTATAATAAAAATAAATTCATACGTTATGGGAGTTATATGTAAATCATTTTCCGCGACATCAGACCATTTATCGGCTAAATATTGTTCACATAATCCGTACAATTCGTGTCGTTTTTCAATTGTTATATCACTTGACATTTTGTATTTTAAATGTGGATTTAATTTGCTTACAATACTTTTTATATTGAATTTTATTTTAAAGCTCTTAAATACAGTATCTCTTATACAATATTAAGAAAAGTTAATATTAATACATCAGTATTACTAGTATAATATAATATGTAATAAAATATATTACAGTATATATCAAAAATTAATGATTTTATTTATTTTAAAATCTTATCGTTATGTATTACATTTAGTCTGACCATGAGTTAATACTGAACTAGATTATTACATAATACTTTAAATCTTATACACCATACTGTATGTCATATAGACATTGATGCACTCATTAATTAATGATTAGATTAACTTTTATGAAGTTTAAAAAATTGATATAAAAAATTATGTATTTATTAAAAGATATTTTCGTGTGAAATATGATGCAAAACCTATCATTAGATTAACATTTCTGTAGTCATCCGAGTCTTGAGATCGGAATAGCATTTAAGTCTCGTTTCGGCCTTTGACTGCAATTCACAACACAATTATCACACATTTATAAACTTTTAAATTAATTAAATATTTTATAATAATAGCTATTCTTACCAACAAATCTCCTTTTGAATGATTATTATTAAATTCCCACAAACAGTACACAATATCCTTCATGAAAGCCATTAACGCAAACACTTTTGACTCAAAAATAATTTTCTCGCGAGAATTAGCCCCAAGTTTTGCATAAAAATTGCCATTAATTTGAGTCATTTGCTCGATATATGCGTCAATAAATGGATACATTTGTGGGTCAGTGGGAAAGTCACCCGAACCGAAGTCCAGTTCCCTGTGACCCCAACTGCTAAAATAGCTGCCTATGTCGGCGCCCCTGTAGCTATAATTAGTGGCATCGAAGTCGATAAGAAAAATATCATTTGTTTTAGAGATTAATATATTTCGTCGGTTGAAGTCGTTGTGGGATAGGACTACTGGGCAGTCAGTTTGTTTAATAGTCTTGGACAGCCATTCCAGTTCAGCCCCGACATTAATGGTGGACAGAGTTTGCAAATTCATGTCATTTATCTGTTTGTGGATAAATCCCTCGCCGTATGACTGTTTCAGTTGTGGTGATAATAATTGGGTTAATAGTGAGACCATATCTGTGTTGTGTTTAGATATCGGTATCTGTAGTGAATGGAGTTCTGCTAATTTCCTGGCTAACTGTCCCACTAGTCTTGGATTTAAGTCACCCTTTCCATCAAAGTATCGGCTCTGAAATTTAATTAATTAATTAATTAATCATTTAAATAATATTATATAATATTTAGCAATATAATTAAACATTATTATTAATAATTTATTAATGTGCAAAAATTATGCAATACGATCAATAATCATTTATGAAATTAAAATTTAAAGAATTAATATAAACTATATCTACGCTCAAAATGATGTTAATGAAGTAATACTAATTAAGTAAGTTTTCTGGAAATAAATTACTATTAAAATATAGTGTAATAAAATAAATAAGTTACTAATAATATAATACCTACATAATAATAAATAAATATTAATAATAAAACTTACTTCAATGAATTGACTGATAGTTCCCGTCGGGAATATTGCCAACAATTCGGGACTCAGATTATGTAGCGATACAAACACATGAATGGCAATCATCTGGGTCTTCGGGAAATATTTCTCAAACATCTCGTAATCCACATGTCTTACTAATAGCTTATTGTATTTGACTTCAACATTATCCGGGACATAGCATACTTGTATTTTATTTATAAATCCAGCACTAGAGTAATTTAATATTTTAATAAGATATAATATTGAGTATAATAATTATTTTAAATCTTTATATTAATTTCATTTTAATATTTATTTCAAATTAACTACCGTATAATACATACGTGATTCGCTTAATAGTCAACTCATTTGGAGTAATTTGCTCCCAATTACCACTTATATACTGTTTACACAATTCATATATTTTAGACCTTTCTTCAATTGATATGTTATTATTTGCATCCATTTTATTATATTTAAAAATATAGTTTTATTGTTATTTTATTTCATTACCAGTATTTGTAATATAATACTACCTGTATTTAAGTGACTTATAAAATAGGTTTCATAATATGATGCATATTATGCTAAAACATAATACATTTTATTGATTTTATGAGCGCCAAAGTTGCATAAATAACATATTATGAAAATACAGGTCATGGGTATGTAATTATGTTTTGCTATAAATACTTAAAATTATATTAATATTGTATAATTTATGTTTATTTAGTAAAATGCCAAATAATAACAATAAAAACTCATTATGTTTAATCCATAGATATTAGTGATAATTATCAATTTAAAGATAATTATTAGTACTGTATAAACATTTCTACGTTAACAATATTAATTGAAACGAAATTTTAAAGCATATAATTCATATGATATTTATAACTAAATCCGATATTCATGAAGATCTGTGGGGTCCGGACATTGGTTTTTATTTTTGAATTTGTTTTCTATAAATAACTATGAGATTATAATATTTATTTGTAATTCATTAGTGAATTTATTTTTGTTACACACTGTTATTAAAATTTCTATTTTGTAACTATACTTACAATTAGGTTAAATTCAGTTCTTAGGTTTTTACTTTTTACAAAAATATAGTATTAAATTTAATTTAGTAAAAAATATTAAATAATTACATTTAATGTATTCATTAAAAATATAAGCATTAATTGCTATGTTTGATTTTAGTACACTAATGCACTAGTAATATAATACTAAATTCTTATGATTAAAATATTTTATACTTTATTGTTTATTGTAAACTAAGTTCAAAAATATCAAGATAACAAGTTATAAAATATTAATAATATTTCTATTATAATAATAATGTTTATATGACTAAAGAATATTCTTTAACCACTCTATTTTTAAGCGCGATATAACATTGAAGTCGTTTTTCAGCCTTTATCTATAAAAATAATATTGGTGCTTATTATACAAATTAAAATATTAATAATAATTAACTAATTCATACCATGAGGTCTGTCCTTTTGTTTAGGTTTGTCTCCCAAATACAATACAAAACGTCTTTAAAGAAAGCAATTAATGCATACATTTTGCACTCTTTTATGAGTGAATCCCTTGAATTGATCGCATGTTTAGCATAAGAATCGCCGGAAAGTCGACTCATTTCCGAGATGTAGGCGTCGATGAAAGTCAACATTTGGTGGTCATTGGGAAAGGGTCCGGAGTCAAAGCCTACGATATCTGCCTGAGCCCAACAACTGAAATAGTTACCCAGGTCTACGCCCCGGGAGGCGTAGCCCGAGAAGTCAAAGTCTATGAAATACATGTCCTTAACGTCAGATACGTTATTATTGGTGTCGGTTTTGATTAATATATTTCGTCGGTTCAGGTCGTTGTGAGACATGACGACAGGACTGTCCACTTGTGGCACAGTCCTCGTGAGCCACTGGAGTTCATCGATTAGATTTACTGTCGAAAATGTCTGTAGATTCTGGATCTGGTTGTGGACATAGCCCTCGAGGTATGATTCTTGAAGTGGTGGGTCGAAAAAGTTTGTAAACATATGTAGCATATCTTTACTAGTTTTAGGGATTGGTAGGTCCAGTGAATGCAATTTTGCCAGCTTTTGAGCTAACAGTGCGACCGCTTCGGGATTCAAGTCATCCTTTCCGTCGAAATATCGGCACTAAATTGAAAATCAAAATACTTTTTAGGATTTTTATTAACAATTTGTGTTAACTTTATATACATTAATGAATTCATTGATAGTCCCGTTCGGGAAAACTCCCAAAATTTTGGGCGATATATTGAGTTGCGATAAAATAGTACTAATGGCCAGTATATGAGTCTCATTGCGGGGATCGTTATCTCCGATATTTTCAACAAACCTCAACACTACTGACCCATTGTCTGGGTCTGTATTATCCGGTAGGGAACAGTAAAATAATTTATTGATAAAACCGTCCCTAAGAAATTGCATTAGGAAATATATTAAACATTATTTTTGAAAATATGTTTAAACAAAATATAGTCAATACATACGTTATGGGTTTAATTATCAGGTCATTAGCGCTAATTTCTGTCCATCGGTTGCTTAAATAATTTTTACACAATTCATAGATTTTTTCGCGATCCTCGCTCAATACAGACATTATTTTTGGTATATTATAATATAAATAACACACAATTATATGCTATAATAACTGGTTTATATTTTCCTAATGTATACGGTATTTATAGTTATTTTATCAAATTTTACAGGAGATATATCATAACTATTCTGATAACAAAGTCATTTGACAATCTTAAGATATCTGAACATTAATACATCAAAATGTTTTTAGTATTTAAATCTTTATCGTAATAATAATTATTAATTAGATTCCTGTTAAGATTTATAACATACCATCGTGCACCAAAAAAATACTTAATGTTATATCATTATTACATAATTCTGCATGTACAGTATTGTATTTAGTATACATTTTGACGGCTAGCTAGAAGTTTGCCAAGAAAATTTTATTTAAGTAAAATATTTTCACTATTTATAGTTTTTATTCAATATAAATGATTGATGAAAAGATATTTCGCAATATTTCTGAACATTACTTCAAAACTTCAAACTAAAATGATAAGTTAATTTAACCTTGTTTAGTAAATATTTAGACTGGTTTAGCACTTTTCAAGGATAATATTCAATGGGATGATTGTAATACACTGTACTTTGCGTTGTATTATTTAAAAAGTTAATAATAATAATTATATTTTAAAATATACTTCAAATTAAGCATTTTTATCAATGCTCAAATTAACCATTCAATTTTACTACATTATAAATTATTTATTAATCATATACACGAAAAAATAAACAAATAATTTCTAAATTAAATTAAATTAATCATTTCTCTGTCGGCGACCAAAAGTCAGCACAATCTGTGAACGATATGTACACCAATAGAGTGGACACACCTATTATGCGACTCTCACTGTCCATCAACCGTATGGTACGGTAGCCTTAAATCAAAAGTTTTAAATTAGAAGTTTATATAAATTATTAAATGCATGTATTAATAATGAATAACCTACCTGGCATAATGGCCCTGAATGGTATGGCATACCTGCCAAGTAGCACATTTTTGCCAATAGTCAAGTGATCTTTAACCGCAATGTAAATAATGGCCAACTCCGGCATCCTTACAGTGAATTCAAGCGTTTGCTCCCAAATTGGGTTAAAACCTGTCAAATAATTTTGAATTTAAGTTAAATTTTATGTTTTATTCATTTTCATGCCATAAGTCATACCATTACTCTTAACCACATTTGTCGTAAACTCGTACCAATCGGCCGAATGGCCGTATACTCTGAGCTTAACGTACGGGTCGATGATTTTGCCCTCAAATGTATTGCCCGGTTTGGGAATATGCTGTCCACTAATGATTGTCATTTTAACCTGTTTAGGTCTCATGTCACTCATGCCGTATAGCATGCCTTTCCGCAAATACTTGGGTTTCAATACATAACCACATTTGCCGTTCAACGCAAATAAGGCTTTGTTGAAAATCATGGGCGTATCGTAGGTCTGGTAGTTGAGGGCCACTAACTGTGCGCCGGTATTCCAGTGGGGAATGGGATCGTAATTACCAGACAGCACTTTCCTACCTCGTGGGTACACACGAACTAGGTGATTTTTAGTGAATTTAGCGTATTTGTTAGCATCGCTTTTAATCAAGTTTAATGATTTTGTCGCCTTTAGTGAAATCATTTCGTTATATTTCCCTAATTTTGGGATCAAATTATAATCACATTAATTGAATCACAATTATAACTTATTAAAAATTACACGTTTTCTCATTCAAACAGTCATCAAATGATTGAAACCTTTTTGTCACACAATATGTCACCAAATCTGACAACTGTTTCGCCAATTCATACTATTATGAGAAAAATAAATACTTAATTATTGTATGCAAAACATTCAACACATTAAAGCACTTACTTTTAATTTGTCCTTTCTTACGCTCATACATGCGCCCATATTTTGCATGTTATCGCAGTCCGGGATCTGTATGGGCTCGGGTTTGTCTAAATACTCGATACTTTTAGTCTCAGTTTCGCTGAGCACAACCTCCAGTTCCCCATCCGAGTCGTGCTCATCCGAGTCATCCGATTCCGTATCACTCGCGACCCAATTGTTCAGTGAATCCGATCGCGACATCTCTTTTGTGTCATATTTTATCAATTTTTTGCCTTTTAATAGGATTTTGTACTCTAATGCCTCGGGAGATGGCAAATGTTTTTTATTGAGCCCTAGTATGCTACTACTGGTGTCTACCGGGTCCACATATAGATAGTCTGTTAAATTAAATAATATAATAATTTATTATTATGAATCTATTGTGAATTATTAATTACATTTGGTTAAATCTAGAAATTTTGTTAATATTACAATAAATTTTAATCTTTATAATTTATATAATTAAATATAATAAATTTTTACATCTATTAAAGGTGTATTTGAAATACCTTTCAAAACATCCCTGATAAGCATGGCCATTTTTATTTGTTGATCAACGGAGCAATTGTTTTCCAGTGATAGTATAAGCGGGTATTTACTCGTTTTGAACGCATATTCCCTTATAGTGACCAATACGTCGAGTAACGGTATTTTAGTGGTCAGTGTGTAGAGATGGGTAACAATAGGCTCACCATCTCTACCATCGCAGACATCCAGTTCCACACAACGACACCCACTGAGCAGTGCCAACCGATAGCCCTCTACACTACTTGTGCCGGCTAATTGACCTCCCAAAAGATAACTAGTTGATTACATAAAAGCTAATTAATTGAATGAGAGATTAATTGCAATATTTATACGTATTATGAGATGAGGAGATATAATATGCCGATAAGGGCTGAGACATGTCCTCACAGACAGTATTATGGGTTTTGTTAAATATATCAAATTCTGGTGATCGGAATAAATTGTAAAAACCTATAAATAAATCAAAATAATTATTAATTAAAAATCGCATAATAGTTCAACAGCATAATTATATAATAAAAAGTACCTTTAATGGACATAAATCCAGGGTACAGTGTGTCTTGAGATTCAAATCGCTGTATATATGCCTTACAATCATCTAAACCAATTTTGGTCATCTAAATGATACAAAAATTGTTATTAATTATAACTAACATACTTATAGTTTATAAGTAAAAATAGTAAATATAAATACCTTTTGGTTTGTGACCAAAAACTTTTGCAACTCTTGATGACCCATAACATCGGTACCGTTGACTGAGTTTCTATATTAATTAATAAACACCACATAGATTACGTAAAATTAGCAAGTTAATTAATAATTAAATCAATTTAACCAATAATAACCCACTTTCGAAAGAGTTGATCCAATTCTGGCCTTTTATTAAGTAATTCATAAAAGTCGAGGAAAGCCTCTTCATCGAGACAACAGGCACCCAATTGGACATCACCGGCACCCATGCCTTTTAAATTCATTTGATGCTTACTATTATGAGCCGCCTGTCCATGAATTGTTGAAATCATTGTATATTAGCAACAATTTAATTAAATATAACTTATATAAATAGTAAACTCACATCAAACAGGGTCATTGCTTGCTTCTCAGTTATTGATAGATTCATGTGATTCAATACACACATTATTTCATCCCTGCTCAGTTTGTGGTTAATGTCGTTATCTGCGGATCTAAACTGGTTTTTAAGCCAACTGTCCATAAATAGATTTTGTATAGTAATTAGTAATGTAGATTTAAGTATCTAATTTATACAATATTAATTTATAATTTCTACATACATTGAATGAACCTCTTTAATATCCATACTCGTATCAATAGTGTCCAGGTGGTTTTGACTGTCCATTTTTATATTTATGTTATAAAATTAAATGTTTTTATACTAAATAATAATTATTATATTGCAGTTTTGTGGTGTTAGAAATGATTTCACTATTATGTTTTGATTGTGTTGTTTATACGCCACTGATTCATACATTTTATTGATAACCACACACTTTAGTCGACTCATGATTACAGCTAAGAGTTTGTGATTACATTGAATGTTGAATAAATAATATAATAAATGTAGAAAGTGAGTTTGAAAACAAAGTTATCTGGTTTAAGTAAAATACCAAAGTATTAGCCAGTATAGAAATGCATAAGTTGTCTATTTGTATAATAGTGCAATCATCTAGCATTACTGTACATTTAAAAGTGTAATACTTAAAAAGCTAAAATTATTAATAGAAAAAGATATTTTGATATAATATTTTATAGCCACAAGTGTTTGGAAAGTTTTTACAATTCAATGTAATATTATGAAATAATAGTAATTCAAAACATAATTAATGATGATTTTCAATTTCAGTATATTGCATGATATTTGCTAACTTATAAGTTTAATCAATATATGATTTAAACATATAATTCTGAAATCCCTAAAAATCACATGAATTATATAAATAATTGATTGAAAAAACTATGGCACATATTACAAAAATAATTTATTTTAAAATGTGTCAGGTGCATACTATATATATCTGCTATTTAATGAAAATAATCATAATAAAATACAATAGTAGTACATTAGCAGTTAAATTAGTACGGCATACTTTACAAAGTCATTTAAAAAATAAAAATGTTCAAATTTATTGAGTTTTTAATTTTACTAATAATGGGATTACTCGGTATAAAAAATTGTATAATCTATTAATTAAAAATAACTATTAGCTTGTTAATTTATATACAAAAAATTAGTTGCTGGGCAAGACACACCAGACACAACAGTGACTACACCGGTGCTACCCATTCAACTACAACAGTGCTCAGGGGAAAGGCAGATATGTGGCGGTTATATCGGTTTTGAATGCTGTACGGGACAGGGATTAACGTGTATTACGAACGCTGTTGGAGTGAATGCCAGGAATACCCTGGGATTCTGTATGACAATGGGACCCCTCGGTCAGTGCGGCGCTGAAAATAGCATATGCGGTGATGTGGTCCGTACTAATTGCTGTAATGGGCTCAAGTGCCGCAATTTTGACCAAGCTAACTTTGGAAAATGCATTAATGAGACAGCTACTTTGGGTGCCAATAGGAGACCTACATTGCATGTCGCTCCGAAAACTGCCTGGCCCACTATAACCCAAGTATTACGCTAATAGTTATTATGAATTACTGTAATATTTTTATTAAATAAACTTGTAATAAAAATAGTATTTTTTGTTTCATAAATCTTTAATTATTTCAATTATTAAAAATTATAAGTATTATACTATGAATGCGTTTATAGTGCTAATACTGTAATTTGTTTATTTATTCAATATTAATAAATTACTAATGATTATAAAACATATTTGATTGTTACTTATGCCATGGTGATTTAATGTGTGTATAAATACATGTTTATTTATATTTAATTAATTATATATTAATTTTTTATGTAATAATTGGTGAACAAGCATTAGGTTGTTTTCAGTTTTTTAACATTATTATTACTGTATTATTATATTTTATACAATAGCAATCTTAACTATTTGTGATAAAATATTTAGAAATAAAATAATTTTTATAATTTAAAGTTAAATTAAACTAAATACAAAATATAAAACATTAACTTGGTTTATACAATGCACATTTATTAAATACCCATAAAATTATTAATTATTTTACACAGTATAAACATTTCAAGGATTGATCGAAATTATTTATGGACAGTACAGTAAATCATTTAAAGTATTTTTACAATAATTTGTAAGTAACACTTCAATCCATATTAATTTTAAATATGTTTAGTCATCTTAATTAGTTTTAAAAATTTTAATCTAGTTCAAAGTTATTGAAAAGAGCTAGAACAAAATTTAAAAGAATTGTGTGAAAAGCATTGAGTGTTTGGGAGTGGAAATAAAACTAATTACTAAATACTGTCGATAATTGGGCACATTTACCGATGTTAACAGTTCAATGTATAGCCCTTTCCTTTATATGTCTGTCCACTTAGTTATTAAATGTGTTATTCTCAACTACAAAGAAATAGTAATTACAGCGAAATTTTTTTCACTACTTAAAAACGGTGTCAATGAGTTGATGGCATCTATAATAACCCCGGAGTATATCATGAGAACTATGCAATGATTAAGTAAATGACCAGAAACATTTAAGATTGCCCGGGGCATCAACGTTAAACTCGCTGATATAAAACTAAAAAGAGAAATCTATTTCACATATCACTGAATTACTCGCTAATACTAGTAACTCGACCGCTAGCCTTGCTAATATTCTGTGGTAATTATGCTAATATTAACATTATACGGTAATATTCTTTT